GGTGGAGCCTAGGAATCTGCATTTAACAAGCACTCCTGGTGATTCTAGTGCAGTTAGTCCTTAGCTTTCATTTTGAGAAACACTGCAAGTCTAAAGCTTTAGTCTAATCTGAGAGATGAGAAAAATGCTTATGAGTGTGAAGCAGTAAGGCTCAACTAATTTCACAGAAGTTGTACCTTCTTTGGATGCTCATGACATGTTAGTTCAAGCTCTCAAATAGCACTTAATGTAGTCTGACTAGCTCTAGAGTTATTTGTGGACTTGCCTCAGCATCCCCCCCCAAACAAGACTGTCAACTCTCTGAAACACAGGAATTAGGTGGTAGTCACTTTCGTATCTTCAGCTGGGCTTACCCCATAGTTTCTCATTACTGAGAAGATGCTCAGTAATACTTGTTAATGTTGAATGATGAAGACAATAAGGATAAAAATGTGATTGAAAGAGTGTGATTGAAATAGTCAGATAAGTGTTTATTCTTGGGCGTTTCATCCACCAGCTGTGAGGTCTTGATTGAGTCACTTCATCTCTCAGCTCTGCATCTGTATCATGGGAGATCAATATGTTCCTCCTTCAGAGGGCTGCTGTGGGGGTACACTGGAAAATGTGAAAATGCTTTGAAACTGTGGAGCCACTTATTTCACTTTTGTTGAATATGACTCTTTTTACACTGCCTCATTCCCCCTGTGAATGAGTGCTAGGTTATACAACTGAGGCAAAGAACATAAGGTTTATTTCTGTCATTACGGGAAAACAAATCCTATTATATGGTATTTAAATGAACCACATGCCTTTTCCATCTTCAAGGAGAATTAAAAATGAATTCAGTTCTAAGAATTTATGATACGAATGAAAACATTTTATCCTACAAATGATGAGTAGTACAAAGGAAGGGAATAAACTGGGGAGCAAATTAACTATTGAAATTGCAGTTTATCTCTGAGATGAGGAATTTCAGAAATCTGCCACTGTATAATGAAATGATGTCTGAATTCTAGCTGCTCCCCTGAGATCACCTTAAAAGGCAACAGGTGTTCAAGCCCTGCATCCTAGTGAAGTGAGTAGTGTCAGGGGTCTTAAAAGCTTGTGAGCAGCCATCTAAGATACAGCTATTGGTCTCTAATCGCCAGGAGCAAAAGAGTAAGGAGGTAACTAAAAGCTCAGAGAAGAAACAAGTCTACACAAGCCACGACATCATTTACCTTGAGGCCAGAAGAACTAGATGGTGCCCAGCTACCTCTGCTGACTGTTCTGACAGGGTCACAATAGATGGTCCCAGATAGAATGGGAGAAAAATGTAGAGCAAAACACAAATTCCTAAAAAAGCCCAGACTAACTGGATCAGTTGAGACCAGAGGACTCCCTGAGACTGTCGCCCTGAGACACTCTTTAAACCTTGAACTGAAACTATACCCTGAGATTACCTTTTAGTGAAATAGCAGAATGGCACACAAAATAAAGGATATTACCTGTAAGAACGGTTCTGTACTAAAAAACCATCTGTATGAGACCAAATGGTCAACATTTACTCTAAAGCAAAGATAAGAAGATAAGAGGGCAGGGAAACTAGAGTACTGGAAATGCAACAACCAGACCACAATTAAAGAGAATGTTGACACAGTGTGAAAATGTAACTAATGTCACTGAACAATTTGTGTGGAAACTGTCAAACGGGAGCCGAACTTGCCGTGTAAACTTTCACCAAAAACACAATATTATTTTTTAAAAAAAGGCAACAAGTATCTGATGAGCTGAAAAGTTCAGGTACATAACATCCTTTCTAAAACCTCAAGGCAAGGTTTATAACTACCTCCTCAAGCCCTAAAGAACCTAAAGATGTGAGATCACATAAAAAAGGCAATGTGCTCCAAGCTAGAGCCAGCCCATACCCCAATGAGAAAAATATGGGCAATGTAATGAGTTTTCCATGAAACTATATTTACTATTCAATTTAACCTATCTTTTATTCTGAGGTTATGTCTTCCATGTTTTGGCTTGTTAAAATGTCCTTGCTTTTATAAAATGTCAGTTTTTTTTAAATTGGTGAAATAGATTTTATCAACCACCATGACTCCTCATTTGAATTTATTTATTCAGAGAGACGTGTTCATTTGAGCCAAGTTTCTTATCTACTCAGTCCTCAGTCTCTCCATGTGTAAAATCATAAAGATTATTAATAATATATACAAAGGCCCTAGCGCAATTGCTAATACATAGCAGGTGATCAATAACTGTGGTAGTTATATGAAAAATGAATATCTAGATAAGTAGATATTGCTACTATCTAAAAAAAACAAAACAAAACAAAACCCATTGCTGTTGAGTCAATTCCAACTGAATAGCAACCCTATAGGACAGAGTAGAACTGCCCCATAGGGTTTCCAAGGAGCAGCTGGAGGATTCAAATTGCCGACCTTTTGGTTAGCAGCTGGAGCTCTTAACCACTGCACCACCAGAGCTCCACTATCTAGATAAGTAAATTATATAGTGTCTTGATGATATAAAATTACTGTGTTTTCACTACTGTGTTAGATAAATTTTTCCACTGGTGGCATCATTTGGGACCTGTCCACGCCTTTGCCTCCAGGTTAAGTCCCTAAAGAGCAAGCACGAGGGGGAGTTTCCCTTTCATGTACACAGACTCACACAGCACGCTGTGTTGGGGGTGGGGAGCGTTCCTAAACGAGTAGTTGAGTGGCTGTAGGGAAGATGAGGGAGAAGGGGTTACTCTAAATTGACTGGAGTCAATTATGTGTCCAGGAAGTCTTCAATTAATTGGAATGGTTAGGGAATTGGGGATCCTTGAATTTACTTTTCAGATTAATCAAAAACAAAAACACATCACCTTTTGGTCATTAAAAATCTTTCTAAATACTGGTTTTTCAATTTTCCTATAGGTTTAGAAGAGTTGGAAAAAAAAAAAATCAATGTAATCTACCCACTGAGATTAAAGGAAAAAAGAAATCAAATAATTACCCAAAGGGGAAAAAACTATAAATTATTTACTTCCTTCTTTAGTAGAAAGCTTTCTGTTGCTTGGGTGACTGAATTTGCACCCATGCCTGGTGGGAACCATTTAATACACAGTGCTGGCCTCCTAAACTGCCACTCAGAGATCATTGAACTGATATGATTGTGATGGGGGTATCAGTTTGTAGTGAAACTGGCACGCAATAAGTGCTCAATAAAAACTTATTGAATGGATGAGTGAACCAAATGAATGATTGCAGTTTGAACAAATGAGGCCACTTTTGAAAGTAATTCTTACTGCTAAAAACTCCATAATTATATCAGACTTCTTTGAATGTACTGAGAATTCCTTCCTTAATATGGCCTAGGTTTGATGGCAAAAGGATTAGGAAATGGAATGAAACTAAATTTTACTGAGTGCCTAATACGTGCCAGAGAATTTGCCTGGTGTTTTGTATATTTAAACCTTGTAAAACCTCTGCAAGATAAGTCTTTCCATTTTGTAGATGAAGAAACTAGAGCTCAGAGGGGCTGAATAACTTGTCTATGGCCTCACAGGGAGCCAGTGGCAGAGTCAGGATTCAGTCTAGGTCTGTGTCCAGGGCTCTTTCTCTGACTATGCAACCTTTCAGTAGCCTCATGTGAAAGACACACGAAGCAGAAGTATTAGCTAGAGGCAGGAAGGACTGTAAAGAAGGGAGTGTGGTAGAGTGAAAGATAATACCCTGCTTGTCCTTGAGAAATATGTGACTTGAGGCCTTAAATTTCATATCTATAAACTAGATGACCTATGACTGGGTGACCAGGTGGCCCAGTTTGCCAGGACAGCCCCAGTTTATACTATTATTAGCACCTCCTTTTACCATGAAAAAAAGTGTTTTACTATGGACTATTAATTCTAAGCCCCCTATCTAGAAGGTTTTTTTTTGGCTTTAATTTCTGTGATTTCAAATGGAATCTAATAATATTACTTCAATGACTGAAGCAACGTGAATATTCATTTTCCAGGCATGTAAGGTCTAAGGGGATAGATAGCATGTGAGAGGCCCCTTGTCTGGAGGTTGCTTTGCATTTCTGATATGGACAGCTTTTCTGCTAATGACCCTTCCCTTTAAAAGTACACTAGTAAATTCCTTTCTAGTAGATTTGTTTCCAGTTAATTTGGGATCATTATGTAAAAATTGATTTCCTACTTCATACTAATAACCAGTGCTGTAGAGTCGATTTCGACTCATAGTGATCCCATAGGGTTTCTAAGGCTGTAAATCTTTATGGAAGCAGACTGCCACATCTTTCTCCCACAGAGCTACCGGTAGTTTCAAACATGCTGACCTTTTGGTTAGCAGTCAAATGCTTTAACCACTGCACCACCAGGGCTCCTGCTCATACTAATAAACCAAAACCATTGTTGTGGAGTTGATTCTGAGTCATAGCAACTCTACAGGACAGAGCAGAACTGCCCCATAGGGTTTCCAAGGAGCTGCTAGTGGATGAGAACTGCCAACATTTTGGTTAGCAACTGAGCTGTTAACCATTGCACCACCAGGGGCCCACTCATCCTAACAGTGGCTACCATTTATTGAGTACTTGTCAGTGCTGAGTGCATTATTTCATTTAATGCACAGATTAATGCTATGAGATACTCATTTTATGGAGAAGGAAACTGATACTTAGCAAAGTGACTCGCAAGTGATTGATGGAGCCAGGTCATCCTAACCTTTTAACTGTTATACTATATTGATATGTACTCTCTCTCTCACACACACAGAGTATGGATAACTGAAAAAATTATGAGGCCTCCTAAATTTCCACTGGCTTCTCCTATATTTATCAGTATCAGTTCTAGTCTCTGTAATTTCATCTTCCACTCCTTCCACCATCTTATCTTTACCTTTGAACAGAAGCATCTGTCTCAAGTACACAGACAACAGCTTTTGACTAAGATGCAGGCTCTCAGGAAAAACAAAAAAGAAGGAACTAGAAAGTAAATGCAATGACTGTTTTTATGGATTTTTTTGGGGGGGGGGTTTGTCTTTATTACAGGATAAAGCAGAAAACAGACACTTGCTTTTTCATTTACACAGATAATACTTAAAGAAAAATCACCAGTTGACACTCATATCATCTTGTTTCATTTATTGTCTGGCTAACTTAGAAAGATGCAGATGTCTAGGGTAGACTCTACCCCACCATTTAAACTATGCTGACGCTATATATCAAAATGTGCATGTCTACATAGTGCAGTGGTAGGAAAAAACTTTTTTTCTCCCTTCAATAGTCCCTGACTATAAACAGGAAAAATTTTCACGCCAAAATTTGTTGGGTACTTTAATCTTCCTGTTTCTGCTATTAAAATAACAAAATTGGTATTATAAGGTAAAATACAAAGGCTTAACAGATTTTTTTTGTCCTTTTGCTAATTGCTTTATAATCACAACAAACTAGTACACAGAAGGCCCTGTATAAAACAACACAATAAAGGTTCAAAGATGGAGGTGTTCCCTCAGCAAGGCTGAAGATTTCAGTCTCTGGTATTTGGAATTTAGGCTGCAGTCCTTGTTTCTGGATGGATCACTGGATGTGTGGGCACAGTCCACGCTTTAAATAGATTTGAACAGGAGAATGGCCATTTGGCCCAGGTAGAAGTAGATGAAGTGCTTAGTTTCATGTGTCACATAACTACCGAAGTTTCTCCCCACAGTGCAGTGCCAGGTAGGATTGTACTTCTTGTCAAACTCCTTCTTGATATGGGCCTCAATGCCCTTCTCTATGTTATACTTATCCAACACCTGAGTAGCGCACTCCAGTGAGTTTTGTTGCATCTCCTCTGATGTGTCTGCATTTTTGATCATGGCCTTTCGAGTCACACATGGTTACCATGGAGCAGGGACTGGCTGACTGCTACAGTCTCCTGGGGGAGGAGTTACAGCAGCTCCAACCCTTCGAGAGCTGCCCAAAGGCCTAATGGTTTTTACAGATATGCAAATAATCTGCTACTTAGACATAAAAAGTTGATTTCTTTCAAATCACAAAGTAAGGCACCATTGGATTAAACATTTTTCTGTTTTTACTAAATAAAATGCATAGTGAAATAAATACTGAACACTAAGTTTTAATACTGTAATACATTTCAATATAAAATGATATGTGAATGTTAAAATACTGTATTACATCTTGAATCTGGAAATTTTATGGGAGAAAAACACATGTAAGCTTCAATTTCAGGGAACAAACTAATTTTTATGGTTTGCTACAATTTAAGATTTTAGAATAGAACCTATTCAAAGTTTTGGGTGCAATGAGGTTGCTAATTTTCAAAGAAGGTATGTAGGGGTGTTAATGAAACATTCACTTAAAAAATACATTCAAAAACATCTCTGTTCTGGAGAATGACAACTTTGAGCTATAACCCGGTTTCAAACTTTAGGGTGGTCTCTGCAAAGCCGGGACATACAAGGAAATCGGTCAATTCTTAATACCACTTATAAAATTCAGACCCACTTTCTCTCGGTTAGACTTTTCTCCACGATACTTTGTAGGAAGGCCAAACTCCATCTTTTCTGAAGTGGGTCATTAGGTTTTATCATAGGGATGTTTATCACTTTTGAAGTCAGATCAAAGAATCAAAAATAAAATGATGTTGCTAAATTATCAAAATGCTGAAGATAAAATACATTTTTGAAAATACTTTGCAAAGCTTGTTACACCTTTATATTTCTTGACTCTCTCTGGGATATAAGCCCCAAGTAACTGCATGGAAAATAGATGCGTAATAGAGGATAGGGTGAAAAAAAACATGTTCTCTAAGCATTAAGTCCAGGACTTGGGCAAGGAAAGTTATAAAAATACAATTTTTCAGACTGGTAACCTCAATTTATTAGACACCCCTAAATTATTTTGCTTTTATATAAATGAAACATTTAGTCTATAAATAGGAATGCATTTTTCAAATTTTTCTTTGGAGTAATTTCTTATTATAATCTCCCAGTAATACAAGAATAATACACTGAAACCATGATACAAAGTTTAGATAGATATACATATACATATGTGGCCATGTGCTTGTAAAAAATAATGGTAATTTTAAACATAACCATATAAAACATCTAAGTGGAAATACTGTTTCCCATCTCTAGAGCTAGATTTAAAAGTCCCAGTAAGGTTCTGTAAACAAATCATAAAAAAGGCAAGGCTGGCTCTTCCTATGGTCCTTTAGTGGAGCTTTATTTGCATAGATCCAAGACAAATTATTTTCCTGGATGGATTCAAAATAAATTCCCTCCAATTTCCAGTAGCTATCTCCCTAATTCTCTCAATCCCTTAAGCATCAGATTTAGATTTTTAGAGCGAGCTTTACCAACCCACCCCAACTGAAATCTGTTCCCTTCTTCCATGTTTCTGATTTGCTACCTTTCCCTGACTTTCTTCCTCCCATGATGGAGCCTACCTAGCCTCTCCTGGCCCTAAGTGGCATGCTCGTCATTGGGAGAGGAACAAAGGCTGCTTCAAGTCCACCAGGCTGGAGTCCAGCTGACAAATGAGCACACAAGTCAGCTGGTTCTGAGCCTGAAAGACTCGACAGGCTTTCAGTTTCTTTCTAATGGCTTTATTCCACGTGACTGTAAACCATAATAGATCAATTTCTGACCCTGGTACTGTGAAGCAAAACTCGTATACAGATATTAGGGAGAGAGGGAAAATAAGGGAGCAAAATCTAAGGTCAGGCTATCTGCCAAACAAGGTGTTTGGCCTTAACTTTATTTTTAGTTACCTCTTGAATTACTAAGTTCATCTTATCTTAAAAACAAAAACAAAAAAAACACCATAAAACAAAAAAGCCAAGAGGTTTTTACACCAGCCTCCATCTTCTAGACCTGTGCTGACCAATATGGTGGCCACAGCCACATGTGGTTATTGCACACTTGAGATGTGGCTAGTCCAAATGGAGACGTGCCATAAATGTAAAATACACCTAGGTTTGGAAGACTTAGTACCAGAAAAAGAATGTAAAAATCTCTTTAATAATTTTCATATTGATTATAGGTTGAAATGATAATATTTTGCATATATAGGGTTAAATAAAATATATTAAAATTTTACCTTTAAAAAAAATGTGGCTACTAGAAAATTTTAAATTTTATTTATGGCTCACATTGTATTTCTATTGGATAGCTGTATCCTAGACCCTACCTCAGACTGCCAAAGATTGGAAACCCTGTAACCCCAAAGTGTCATGGGAGCCCTCACTCAGCAACTTGCTTAGGTGGCCTGTGGTTCATGGAAACAGGCAGGAGGCCAAGCATGCATAAAAGGCATGGAAGTAAACAGCTCTCAGGGACTTTAGTAACAATAGTTTTGTAGCAAATAAGCAATGAATGTTTGAATTTGGTGGGTTGAAAGCTGGGCTACAGTTCATATCTGCCTACTTGCCACAAAAACCTATCCACCTCCAAGCAGCCGACACTGGCAGGCTGTAGCTGAAGCAAGCATAGCTTCGAGAATATACACAATATAAAAAGCTAGGTGCATTTCTTTACCGGATTCCCACCCGTCCCCCGCCCCCCATATTTCTACCTCACCCTCCTTTCTTCCCAACTGCCAATATAAAGGGGACAAGGGAAGGAAAAAGGGAGGAGAGCGTGCAACTCTTGGACAGCAACAATAGAAGCAGCTCTTGAGCTCGGGTGGAGAACGTCAGGCAAAGATCACCTTGGGATGGGAGGAAGGGGTGGGGCACCTCGTTCTCTTCGACTGGATCCACCTTGATGGGAAAAAAAAAAAGACAAATACATAATTTTGGTTAGAAAATCTTATTTCCTCACTGTGGAATTTCAGGGATGGTTGCAAAGGTACCCACCCTGTTACCCTCTATGACCAAGGCTGAAAACTAATTGGCATATGTGGGTAAGATGTGAGAGGTGAAAGGCTTAAGCAAGAAAGGATCTAAATAAACATTGCTAGAGAAGGATGACACCCCCCCTCACTGGCTACTGAGTACTTGTACAAAGTTAAGAAAGCTTTTTTTTTTGAATGATTTTCTCTTCATCAGAAACATACCAAACAAAAAACCAAACTTGTTGCCGTCGAGTTGATTCCGACTCACAGCAACCCTATAGTACATGCTTATTATAAAAGATTGAGAAAATATGGATGAGTAAAGTGAAACAAAAAATTCACTCAAGCTTGCACCACCCAGAGATAACCACTAATTACATTAGGTGTATATTTTCCTTTTTTTTTTCTAGTTCCTTTTTTTTCTTCCAGAAATAGGATCATATATAGCCATATATTAGTTTGAATTTCTTTCAAAGCCATTACTCTTTATCAGTGTCATTACTAATGATACACTGCATTCTATTACATGGGTATAACAAACCAAAAAATCAAACCCGTTGCCATTGAGTTGATTCTGACTCATAGCAACCCTATAAGACAGAGTAGAACTGCCCCATAGGGTAACCAAGGAGAGGCTGGTGGGTTTGAACTGATGTCCTTTTGTTTAGCAGCCGAGCTCTGAACCACTGTGCCACCAGAGCTCCGTTATATGGGTATACTATAGTTTTCTTAATCATTCCCTTCTGGGGGGCATTTAGGTATCTTTCAATTTCTAAATAATGCTTTTTTTTTAAGCTATGCATATTGATGGACTATCAGCATTATAACCAGGTTTGAATTCCATTCATGTTCAACTATTTTTTTGATTCATTTATGCCATATACCTTTTTGAGGATCTAACAGGTGCCAGGCATGAAGCCAGGTGCTTGGATGCTGTGAGCAGGTCTATAGGCACACATGTCAGTTGGATAGGTCTGCTATGAGACTCACTGCTCAGAGGCTCAGTTGGGCTGGCATTTGGCAAATTCCTCAGCCTGCCTCTCAGCATCAACCCTAGTAGCCCACTTACGGATTTCCATGATAGAAACAAATCTCTGAGCAAGGAGAGGAGCTAGAGGAAAACCTTGGCAGCTCATTACCTTGCCTCTCCCTCTCACCTTCCCCAAGCAAATTTTCTTGGGCAGGCATCTGAGGAAAGACTCATCTGGATGAAAGTCAGCCATGAAGCCTTGATCCTCCACTGTCACAACACAGGTAGTTAGCAAAACGAAGGCTGGCCTTGGACAAAGCTGTAATTAGGGGACAATGAGTGTGCTCTCTGGAGCCCTGATGGTGCAGTGGTTAAGCGCTCGGCTGCTAACCGAAAGGTTGGCAGTTTGAGCCCATGAGCTACTCTGTGGGAGAAAGATGTGGCAGTCTGCTTCTGTAAAGATTAGTCTTGGAAACCCTATGGGGCAGTTCTACTCTGTGGAAATGGGTTTGGTTTTTTTTTGGTATGAGTGTGCTTCAGACAGCTCAAGGCCATCTGAGGGCCCTACCAGGCTGTGGGCTTTGAGTCTGAGGCAGCTACAGTGACATAATAGAACCACTTGATGTTGTTATTGTTGTTAGGTGCTGTCGAGTTGGTTCCGACTCATAGTGACCCTATGTACAACAGAACAAAACACTGCCTGGTCCTGTGCCATCCTCACAATGGTTGCTATGTTTGAGCCCACTGTTGCAGCCACTGTGTCAATCCATCTTTGTTGAGGGTCTTCCTCTTTCTCACTGACCCTCTACTTACCAAGCATGATGTCTTTCTCCAGGGACTAGTCCCTCCTGATAACATGTCCAAAGTACATTATAATCGCTTCTAAGGAGCATTCTGGCTGTACTTTTTCTAAGACAGATTTGTTCATTCTTTTGGCAGTGCATGGTATATTCAATATCCTTCGCCAACACCATAATTCAAAGGCATCAATTCTTCCTCGGTCTTCCTTATTCATTGTCCAGCTTTCACATGCATATGAGGTGACTGAAAATATCATGGTCTGGGTCAAGCCCACCTTACTTCTCAAAGTGACATCTTTGTTTTTTAACACTTTAAAGAGGCCTTTTGCAGCAGATTTGCCCAATGCAATACTTCATTTGATTTCTTGACTGCTGCTTTCATGGGTGTTGACTGTGGATCCAAGTAAAATGAAATCCTTGACAACTTCAATCTTTTCTCCATTTATCATAATGTTTGTTTACTGGTCCAGTTGTGAGGAATTTTGTTTTCTGTATGTTGAGGTGTAATCCATACTGAAGGCTGTGGTCTTCGTTCTTCATTAGTAAGTGCTTTAAGTCCTCTTCACTTTCAGCAAGCAAGGCTGTGTCATCTGCATATCACAGGTTGCTAATAAGTCTTCCTCCAATCCTGATGCCACATTCTTCTTCAGATAGTCCAGTTTCTCCGATTATTTGCTCAGCATACAGATTGAATAAGTATGGTGAAAGGATACAACCCTGACGCACACCTTTTCTGATTTTAAACCACCCCGTATCCCCTTGTTCTGTTCAAACAACTGCCTCTTGGTCTATATCATTTCCTCATGAGCACAATTAAGTGTTCGGGAATTCCCATTCTTCAAAATGTTATCCATAATTTGTTATGATCTACACAGTCGAATGCCTTTGCATAGCCAATAAACCACAGGTAAACATCTTTCTGGTATTCTCTGCTTTTGACCAAGATCCACCTGACATCAGCAATGATATCCCTCGTTCCATGTCCTTTTCTGAATTCAGCTTGAATTTCTGGCAATTCCCCGTCGATGTACTGCTGCAATTGTTTTTGAATTATCTTCAGCAAACTTTTACTTGTGTGTAATATTAATCACATTTTTTGATAATCTCTGCATTCTGTTGGATCACCTTTCTTTGGAATGGGCACAAATATGGATCTCTTCCAGTCAGGTGGCCAGGTAGATGTCTTCCAGATTTCTTGGCGTAGATAAGGGAGCGTTTCCAGCGTTGCATCCAGCATCACAGCATCATGCCAGCCACCACAACACGACAAAACTGACAGACAAGTGGTGGAGAACCACTTGATAGTACTTTATTTTTGTTAGGTAAATGATCCATTAGCACTATAAAGTATTAAATGCATAATGCTAGAAAGATTTAAAGCAAATCTACAAAATATTTTGGGGGGAGCAGTAAAAATTAATTCACCAATTTAACTAATATTTTTAAATGCCTCCTGTGTTTCAGGCTCTGTGCCATGTGAAGAACATAAAATAGTGAGTAGGATATAGTTCCAATCCTCAAGTTGCTTACAGTCTTAAAGAAAGGAGGATGGGGAGGGAATGTGTTTAGTTATTAAATTAAAAATCTAGAGGGGCTGGGAAGGATGGTTCTGATAATGATTGATAAAAATACAAATAATATTTAAATTAAGAATGCTCATAAGAAGTCAGAAAGCATAGAATCTACACAAACAGCTCCTTCAAGTGAATTCGTTTATTAATGCCCAAGGGGGAGGAAAAATAGCCTGTACTCTTCAGATGGAAGTTCCTTTTCTTATGAAAATAGACACACACACACACACACACACACAGAGAAAACTCCAAGTTATCTGTTCCATAGTAATACTGACTTTTCACCAAAAACTTCAACCAACTCTTATGTGATAATTTTATAGTATGCCTTTTTAAATTTGACATTGTCTAGGAATGCAATATTTTACATAAATGGATTTTTCCAAGAATTAAAACTTTTCCTTTTAAGTAGCAATATTCTGTTTATACTTGGCATTTATTTATTCATGGAAATGTTGCTAAAATACTTCCTATTTTTTTGGAGTCTTCAACAGAGGCTGAAAGCACAATTTGACCTGTTTTTAATAACCCAATAGAAACATCTGTTGTTGTCCTGTGCTGTCATATGTAGCACAACTCTGCATCCCTACCTCCTCCTTTGACCTGAGACTGCACCTATCACTTCTCCCTGATGTCAGTGGTTTTGCTTCTAACCAGCCTTAACTTCTGCTGATATTACTCTGCTCTTGGGCTGGGAACCAACCAACCAACCAAATTATTTAAGAGGTGTATGTTATGTAAGAATTGTGGGCTCTCAGTATGTTTAAGGAGCTCTGCTAGGCAGTAGGGACATGGTGACAATTCTTTGACATGCTCAATAACTTTTTCTCCACACATTTCTGGCTTAGTAGTTTGATTCTGAGACTAAGGTTGCTACGTGTCTGAGCCTCATCAGTGATACGTATGTATTGCATGCTAATTCTTTCTTAGTCCTATACATTTTTGTTGTGAAATTTATCTATTTTCTCTTCTCGTTCACATTTCTTCAACAGGGGAAAAGCAATTTACTTCTTTATGGTAGCATTAGATACATTAGAAAAAAACCAGAAACAATCTAAATGTCTAATAATGATAAACTAAATTATTGTATGCTGACTTAAGGGAATACTGTGAAATGAAAATCGTGGTAAAATGGGGAAGCATTTACTAAGAAATGCTACGTAAACCCCACCATCATGACACTATATAATTATGACTATATAAAAATCAGAATTACATAGATAAAACTGGAAGAGAACCTGGTAAAATGAAAGTATGTTATGTTGAGATAGAGAGATCATGGGTATACTTAAAATTTTCATGTAATGCTTGGAAAAGCTATAATACATTTAAAAGATCAAAGCAGTTACAGTGAGTTTTTGTTATAATTAAGAAGATATTTTGCCGGTCTCTAACTGGCGGGAAGAGAAGATGACTCTATTTGTGCTACCTCAGGAGGATCAAAAAGAGGGAAGATTGTTCAAACAAATAAAATAATAAAATTTAATCTACTAGCAAACCAAAGATATTTTGAGCTGATAATGACATATTAAAATAGTCATTTCTCATATGGATTCTGGATATCTCCAATTTCCTCATCGTGTGTAGAAGGGGAGTAGACCAGAATTTATGGTTTCAGCTGGGGTTTTCTGCCCATTCCAGGCAAGACGCCTGGATTTCCTGTACGACCCATGGCACGTAGCCCACTCTATTCAAGATGGAATCTACCAAATGCCCTTGCTGAAATACTTACTCCGGCTTTCATTTCTTGCTAATTTACTGGGATAACTTTTGGTCGTTGGTACATATGGCTCTGGAGGTGGCAAATCAGAAATCGGATGGAAGTAGAATCTGCTTTCCCACTCATCTAGGGAGAAACAAACAGGATCTTCAGTAACAGACAATCTGCTATGAAGATGTTATGTAATGAAAAGCACCGAATGAAAAACAGAACTTCAAAAATCACTTCTAGTTTCATGCCTAGATGTTTAAGAAGACCTGGAAGTGTTACAAATGTTACTGATTTAGCACATCAATTAAATATACTGGCCTGCAAATCAAAGCAAAGGCAGAGCCAACTGATTATAACTGGAGTGATTAGGATCTAGCCAGTCCCTCTCAGGAGCTGGTGGCCAAGGTCTGGGTCATCTTTCTTCTTACTAGTGGGCCCATGAATAACTGGGACCACTCAGATAACAATGGCAGAGGTAAGCAACTTAATATCTGTAGGTCTCTGGCCTCTTACCTGCAGCAAACTGTTTAGAAATGAAAATAATAAGAAAGTAAGCTACAACAATGGTTCTTTTCAGAATTCTGGAATCTCCAACAAGTTAACCAAAAATGAGACTCAAACAAGGAACAGGTCAGAGAAAAATTATCTGCTAGGAGGTGATTACTGTCTTTAATTTGAAATCATGGTTGCCCCTAAAATGGTTAGTTAGATTAATGCAGTACGGTGTGATGAGAATCAGGGTAATGCAAACCAAGAAACGTTAATGCAAACAAACACATAAATTCACCATTCAATTGCTGCTCTGTAGCCCCGAAAAAGTTCCAAGGAGCGGGAATGACATCTCACCTTCACAGGATGAGTCTTGGAAGCCATTTCTAATTGATGTGGATGGGGGAGGTGGGGGAGGTGCCCCAGCACCAGGCCTGTCAGGAGGAAGAGGAGGCCTAGGCCCACTTCTGGGGTTATCTAGTCCACTCCTGGACGGCAACTGAGGGGTGGCAGGCAGGGCCCGAGACGTGCTGCCATTTCTGCTTATTGGCGGAGGTGGAGGGAGAGGGCCTGGAGAGAAAGAAAAGAAGCGATTTCGTTTGATACCTTATATCCTACATTACCATTATCATCATCAATGTACAATAATTGAGTGCCTGCTGGATACATGCCCTTTAACTAGGGAATATCGAGATACGGGGAAGACTTTCTTGGAGATTTAACCAAGAAATGAGTTGTTGTTGTTGTTAAGTGCCATCGAGTTGGTTCCGACTCATAGCGACCCTAAGTGCAACAGAATGAAATACTGCCTGGTCCTGCACCATCCTCACAATCGTCGTTATGCTTGAGCCCATTACTGCAGCCACTGTGTCAATCCATCTCGTTGAGGGTCTTCCTCTTTTTCGCTGACCCTCTACTTTACCAAGCATCATGTCCTTCTAGTGGATTGGAACTGCCAACCTTTTGGTTAGCAGCCGAGCTTTTAACCATTGTGCCACCAGGGTTCCAGAAGAAATGAGCAGGCATGTATAAATACAAGAATGCACATATGTATACAAATATACGTAAAATGAGTGCATGCTGATAGTTAAATGTCTGTTTTGGCTTTGAATTAGTACTAAGATTGGACATGATACAGTTAAATTGAGAACAGGTGATAATCTATACAGACAGTGGGATAATTTTAAAAAATTTTATAATCCTTTTAAATAGCTACTGAACTAGTTACTGTGACATGAAACTGATTAAATAAATGCTATTTTAAAAAAGAATAAGATAGTTATGGAATTATTTTAGATCTTTAGAAGGACTATGTTCTTTAAATGCAGTATTACTGGTAATTACACAAGCACATTTTTGTGATGGGTATGGTCTGTTTGCAGGCAGAAGTGGCATCAGGTAACCAAATATTAGTTAATCCTGAGAATAGTAAGAATTCCTTCTTGGTTATTCCGCTTTAGGGAGGCAGATTAACACAGAGAGTGACCATTAGCTAATCAAGGTCCATGGCTATAAATGCTAGTGTGGAATCCCGACTCTGAGCAAGCTGGTTACCCAATGGAACTCAACTTACTGTCTATAAAAGAGAGTGTCAAAGAGTCACCTCTCTCACAGCACTGTTGCTGGGAATAATAAGTCAAAAATCAAATAAGAAGTACTAAGTATTTGAGACCACGTTGGCTGCAGGGACCCAGTGACAGCGCGAGAGGATTTAACAGCAAGTTTGTACCATGCGTGAATCTAAGTCATTCTTGGCTCAGGAGGTGTTGGGAAGTCTGCTCTGACCATACAGTTTGTTCCAAGTATTTTTGTTGAAAAATATGATTCTACAGTAGAAGATTCTTATAGAAAGCAAGTTGAAGTAGATGCACAACAGTGTATGCTTGAAATCTTGGATACTGCAGGAAAATTACAATTTACAGCAATGAGGGATTTGTCCATGAGAAATGGACAAGGCTTTGCATTAGTTTATTCCACAGTCCACTTTTAATAATTTGCAAGATCTGACAGAACAGATTCTTCCAGTTAAAGACACTGATGATGTTCCAATGATTCTAGTTGGAAATAAGTGTGACTTAGAAGATGAAAGAGTTGTAGGAAAGGAACAAGGTCAAAATCTAGCACGACAGGGGAACAACTGTGCATTCTTAGAATCTTCTGCAATGTCAAAAATAAATGTTAATGAGATCTTTTATGACCTAGTGCGGCAAATTAACAGAAAAATTCCTGTACCTGGGAAGGCCAGCAAAAAGTCATCATGTCAGCTGCTTTAATATACTAAATGCACTGTAGCTCTGACCCAGGTCTGAAAAACTGTTGTCCAATTCAACAGAGCCAGCATTCCAACTTTGTTAAATCTACAGCATCTTAAATGGACTTTCCTGTGGTGGTACCGTTTAAGAGGCAGATGAAAGCTACTACATCAGTTTGCACATTCTAATCACTTTGCGGTATCGCAAGAGAGATTTTTACTCGTATAATAGCCCTGGAGTATGCAACTAGTAAAGCCAGAGGCTACATCCAGTATTACTGCTAAGAGATATTCTTCATCCACCAATGTTCTACATGTATGAAAATGGTGTATTGTATACCTTAACGCGCCCCATACTTTCTATTGGAGAGTACAATAATGTAAATCCTAAAAGCAACCACTATTTTAGCATAATAAAAGAAAGTCCAAAGAGCTCCTATATAGACTACTCCAGATAACTTTGCTTCTTTGATCCCTGTAGCTTATTGTAATTTTTTTTTTAAGAAATTCAAGGTCATTATCATTGTATTGTACAAAATAAGCACTTTGATTAACATAGCTATATAGTTTTAATTTTTGAAAAACCTATGGAGACAGTGATCTTGTCTTTAAAATATGATAATCCTTTCAGTATAATGTCTTAAAGACGTTGCCTTTAAATCTGTTGGGAAAGAAACGTCCAGACTTTTCAAATCTCTTATTTTATGTTTCCTTTTTTGTTTACATAGGAAACAATGTTTATAGTTGTGTGTACAGTGGGGGTCTACAACAAGAAGTGTATATTTTCAAACAATTTTTGTAAATCATTTTCAGGCTTTTGCAGCTGTAGATTCTCACTGTGAATCCCTTGCTTGCTCATGCATAAGTGTATTTGCAATACCAAATATACAGGTTTAGTATTTTTGACTGTTAGTGATTGTTTCACATGTGTAACATTTTGGTTGAGATGTTAAATGGTGGACTAGTACTGTGGATGTGAAGTAATTTTAATCATGTGTAACTGGTCACAAGGCCTAAGGTGCAGTAACTATTGCTGTTTTATTTAACAATGCCTTGTTGCTTTGTATGCATTAACCTTTGGGTATAATGTGTGTCTATCCAACAGGGAGCCACAGTATTTAAACTGACCAACCTAATGTTACAACTACTTTGAGGTGGCTGAATGTAAACTAAAAGCCTTAATAAAACTGGTGCAATTTTGTATAACTTAGCATCAGTAGTTCAATAAATTTGGATTGCCATGCAAAGACTTCCGTTATAATTACTTTACACTTGAATGTTCTGTGTGATGTTTAACAGTGCTAGTAAATAAATATGGGTTCAACTTCTTTTTAGATGTAAAAAAAAAAAAAAAATGCAGTGCTATGGTATAACTAGAAATTTTTAAGTTCCTAGAAAAAATATTCAAAGTAAATTCTTTTTTTTGATAATCTAAAAGAAACCTATCTTGCTTTTCCTGTCCTCCAAATGCAGAGGCTATTTGGGCAGTAAGAAAATTAAAAAATAAAAACAAAGAACTTCAGCATTTTCTCATGTAAATCAAAATGGCCTTAATAATTATTCCTGATCTTCAGCAGTGTGTTTCACTGTTGCAAGATGCTGGCACTTTATGTAAATATAACATCTTATGGAGGTATAAATATAAGTATTTCTTGTTAACCATAGATTCAGAATCCAACTAGAGGGCCTCAAATTGAACAACCCACCCACTGCAGATTTTCCTGATAGGTAGTCTTAGCTCAAACACTTGATGGAGTTGGGGAGGCAGTGCCCAGCCCTGTTTGGTCTCTCAAGGAGTCTCCTGTACCTCACCTTGTAGGGCTTATTTACTGCCCCATCTGCTTGTCATTGCTGGAGTTCTAGTCAGCAGGAGTTGATTTACTGGGGGAAAGTATCTCATAGGCCGTGGGTGTAACTTCACTGGCAATACCACCACATAACAGCCCCTCGACTTCCCACTATTACGGGGCCTAGTTCTACATAACTGGATCTTTTTTTTTTTTTTTTTTAAAGTAAATGTTCATGTTCTTAACTCCAAACTTCCAGTCCCCTACACCAAACCTAGGCCAGCAGAATAGAAAAAGAAACAGATTTCTATTTCCCTCTGACAGAATAATAATTAAAACTGCCATTTCTTATGCTGGGAAATAAGATAACCACTCTATATACTTGGCTCATTTAATTCTCACTACTAACCTGTGAGGTAGAGGCCACAGAGGTTTTGGAAGGTTAAATAGCCAAGTCCAGACACTAATGAGTGAAAGAACCAGATTTGACTCCAAATCTGTCAAATTCTAAAGCCCACTCCCTTAACAATGAAGCTAAATCATCTCTCAAAATACAGATGGTCCTTGATAACTCCACATACACTCCTGTGGGAACGTAAATTGGTAGGAATTTTATGGAGGGCAATTTGGCAGTACCTACTGAAATTCATAGTTTTCTTACACATACCCATTGACCTAGAAATTCCAGTTCTAGGAATTCATCCAAAAAAATACATACAGGTGTGCACAAATAGTCACTGTAAGGATGTATCACTGTATTATCTGCAATAGCAAAACTCTAGAGATGGCCCAAATGAACAAGTGGAGGGACTGGTCAGATAAATCAAGGTGCATTTGTAGGATCTAATATGATTAATGCAGTGTAAAAGTCATGTTGTAGAAGAATAGCTAATCATATCAGAAAATACTAATGAAATATTGTTAAATAAAATCAAGTTATCAAACAATATATGTAGCATAATATCAATTTTCTAAAAATGCGCATATATGCATTTTAACAAGACTGAAAAGATATACAACAAAATGTTATCAATGACTTTTCTAGATGTGGTAAGGTAGGATTATAGATAATTTTTATTTTCTTTATACTTATCTGTATTTTTGATAATAAACAGGTATGACTTAGGTCATCAAAAGAAACAATAAATGTTACAAACATGACACTGCCTGTCAAATTTTGGGGAAAATTTAATCTGTTGATCCATCCATTTGATAAAGCCATGCAAACAGCTCCTCAACCACTCTGTCATGAGGGAAAAGACATAGCTGTTGGATGAGAAGAAAACGTTGCATTTCACTAATCTGAATACTTGTTCTCTTTAGTTCACTGAAAATACTTAATGAAATGATACTATGTCTCGGGACTGGAAGACTCAAAAGGCTTATAATGGACTAGTAAATTTTTTATATTTGCAGTCAACTCCCAGTGGAAGAGTGGTTTAGAGGAGTGGTTCTCAAACTCTGCTGCACATTACAGTCACTGGGAGCTTTCAAATACGCTGATATCCAGTCTGCACCCCACCCAGCAACTAAAGCAGACAACCTGGGAAAGGGATTCAGGCATCCATGGCCTTTAAAGCCAATGCTGTTGATTAGGATCCTGAGGTCACAGGGTCAAAGGCAAGTTAAATACTCCTCAAGAAAAAAATACCTCATTTGCAGACATCTTGTATTATTAAGGTAAAATAAGAAAAGTGGATGATTCTGCTCAATCATCAATAACCACTATAAGTCAGTGTGTGTATTCTACTAAAAGTGCCTATTATAATTGTCTGCCACAGACAGGACAGAGCATGCAAATTCTAGAGAGTCCTTACATTTCATGCTCTGAGAGTTCTTCCCTTAGAGGGTTTCTCAATCCTGGGGGTGGGGCACAGATGAGCTGCAACAGGCCCTTCAACCCATGAAATAGCACGCAAATTTTGACGTTATGAGATTTTTTTATGAAGAGAAGGCCTCTATCTTTATTTGATTCTCCAAGAGGTCTCTGCGCCAGAGATATTAACAAACAGCAAAATGAACTCTTTTTAATATTTGTCCTTAATGAGTAGGGAAGGGGCCTCAAAGCTTGACAGATGACGAGAGAAGTACAAGAGAAGTTCATTAACTCTTAAAAAACTGTCCTTCTCCTTGAATAATGAAGGCCTCCTGCAGGATATGGAAATTTATTTCCTCAGTTAAGATAGCTGAAATTCATTTTAGGAAGGCAGGGTAGTAGCGTGGGGAATATACTGCAGAGATGGAAGATCAAAGTTCTAGCCGCTTCTTTATTAACTAGCTTGGAACCAATTAACTGTACTGGTTATGCAGTCTCCTTATCTCTAAAACATGGACAGAAATATTGGTCCCACTTTCCTCAGAGGTTTACATGGGGTCAAGATGAAATTACACATATTAAGTGTCACTCAGAAGCACAAAGCATTCTGAGAGTGTACTTATGCTTTTGTTTGAGTCTACTCACTTACATGGTTATTAGTGACATTTGATGGGCTGGGTTTTAGGGAGACAACTCACCCATGTCTTGCCATACCTGATCTGCCTGGTGGATCCCTCACTGGAGGAGGGGGTCTCTCACTAGGTGGGGGAGGAAGAGGGCCTGAACGTCCTGGTGCAGGTAAAGGTGGTGTTGATGAAGTGAGGGACAAATTCCGCTGTGGAAGTCTTGGGATTTCATCGTTGCCACTGGAACCCGGAGGCAGGGGAGGAGGGCCAGGCCTGTTGGGAGGCGGCGGCGGAGGCGCAGCCTGTGAGGAGGAGGAAGGTCTCGGGGTGGAAGGCACTGGAGGCTTGTTGTTCTGAGGGGGAGGAGGTGGACCAGTTTCTCTGTGGAGGGAGGGCCTGTTGCCCATTGGAGGAGGTGGAGGAGGGGCCCTGTCATCTAACGCCCTGCTTGGAGTAGGGGGAAGGGGAGGCCTGTTGGAGAAGGGTGAGGAGGAGCCTGGGGGTGACTGGCGCATGGAGCCTCCTCCAAAGGCAGCACCTCGGCTTCCAGGGAAAGGGGGAGGGGCAGGCCCAGAGCTGGGCTGCCTGGGTGCCCCAGGCACTGGTGGGGAGCCGCGGTTGTGCAGGCTTGATTGAACGGGTCTTGGCGTATTAGGTACTGGGGGGGGAACATTATCGGGCTTTGCGCCCACGTCAGGCCTTGGAGGAGGCATACGGTTCCTCTGAGGCTCTGGGGGACCACTTCTGTGGCCTGGAGAAGGCACTGGAAACCTCCCTGGGCCACTTGGGGGTGAAAAAGATTTTGAAGATGTGGGTCTTCCTCCTGGTGGCAAAACTGGTGGTCGGCTTCCTCCGGAATCTGAAGAACGGGGTGGGGGAGAAAAGTCAGTTAGAAATCAGGAACACCAAAGGAAATCAGAGTACTAGAGTATATTCCCAACTACTGGAAGACTTTTCTTAGAGCGCTATAAAATATAGCTAACTATTCATAGAAATTAGGCTGTGTGTGGTCCTTCCTGAAGGTAGAGGAATAGACCATAAGCTCTCTGGGAGTGTTCTAGACCCAGGCTCTACAACCTATGAGCTTTCAAGACAATTTTGGAGAGATCTCTTAGCATTATGTATGGACAAGAACCAGGATGAAGTCTGTAAGAGTTCTGGAGGAATCCCTTATCACTCTGAGAGTACAAGAACAGGGTGGTGTTGGCACATGGGATTTCTGGTAATATTTACCCACCCTCCCCAACCCCGTACTCTTTGTACTTCTCAGGTTTGAAAAATAATTCACTCCTCTTCAGTATAAAAATTAGTTATCCCAATATAAAGCTCCATATGCAAGGGTTTCCTATTCAACGAAAAAAATATGGAGAAATACAATAGAAGAGTTAGGATTGCAATAAGAAAGAACTAAGAAAGGAGTTAATCACCAGTGGACTGTATTAATCTTCAAACGAGTAGGCAACTATACAATTTTTTTTCCTCCTGGGTCAACTTCCACTTCAACATTGGCAGCTAGAACAACACTATTATGTAATTCATATGAAATTGATTTGGTTTAACAAAGGGGGAACCAAAGATATGGAAAAATTGAAACTACCACCCCAGAATCTCTTGGAACCCAAGTTAACTTTCAAAAAACAGTTAGCCTTAAAATTTGTCTACTACTTGAGCCATTAGCTAATTAATGCACCAAATATTTACTGAGCACCTGCTATGTGCCAGCCATTATTCTAGATGCTAGTTAGATGAGTAAACAACAGAAAAGATCCTGCTCTCCTGTAGTTTACATTCTTATGGGCGAGGTAAACAATAACCCAATAAACAGATATTTTCAGTACTTAGTCATAAGTACTAAAAGGAAACTAAAATAAGGTGATGAGATGAAAAGCGCCTAGAGAGACCAGGACAGACAGAGTGACTGGGGATGGCTCTGATGTGACATTTGAGCTGAGGCATGACAAAAAAGAGCCAGACATGGAAAGATGAGGAAGAAAGGTGCTTCAGACAGAGGGGCCTCCAGGTGCAAAGGCTCTGAAGTGGGAATAAGCTTGCAAATTCAAAAACTGGTGGCCTGTTTGCCTGGGGCATAGCATGCATGAGGGAGATGCTTGTCAAATGAAGTCCGAGTGGGCAGCAAGGACTGAGTCATACAGAGCCTCCCTGTAAGCCATAAGAAGTTCAGATTTTACTCAACATGCAATGAGAGCATTTGGAGGGATTTCTACAGTGGAGTAACATGGAATAGAGATAATTTTTTACTTAGACTTTAGTATTGGAAAAGGCTGTTCTTTCTTTGAGTACGTGGTATATTTCTCTGTCATCAACTTGTGATAAGTTTTATCTTCCTCTTAGCTTTGGTGACAAAAAAGTTCAGATTAAAGCTGCAGTTACTGTCCACCTAACAATTGTACGGGATCTTCCAGCACATCATTTTGTGCTCTAACTTAAATTCCATCTTCGTTTTAATACTTTTATTTTTCTTTTACCTTAATTTCTTCACTTATTGTTAAACTACTGAAGTATGCATTTATCAGCTGCCTCAAATCCTTTTGGTGGGTTTTAAATAAATACATTTGAATTTAAATGCAGGTCTGGCAAGACAGAATCCCTTTTATTATTGAGTCTCTTTCTAGATTTTGACTACCCAGTGCTAAAATAGTCAGCTGAGCCTGAGGATTCAGTGACCTTATCTTCATATGAGTGTGAGCATTTCACATTTTCCCAGTGGACATTTTAAAAGATTTTGCTGGTTATATAATTAGACATAAATTCCTCTAACCACGATAAACATTTAAAAAAATAACTAGTTTTACGGTAAAAGTTCTTGAGCTAATGTTGTAGTCAGGAGAGAGCTCCTGCACTTAAGTCTTGTATGTAGCCATGACCAGGCCCGATTTCTCTCTGCCATTAGGTTCACGGACAATCTTGTAGGACTCATTTCCATGGCTCCATGCAGAGAATACTTAGAATCACTGGCACTGAAATACCAAATATCTGTCACACAAGACACCATTTTAGATTTAGTGGGATTTGTAATTATATTCCACATGAAGTACTACATAGTGTTTTTGGAAAGTGGTTCCTAAGTATTTACTGTACTAGCCAGAATGCTCCTTAGAAGCAAGGATGGTGAGACTTCGTCTCACGTACTTTGGACATATTATCAGGAGGGACCAGTCCCTGCAGAAGGACATCATGCTTGGTAAAGTGTAGGGTCAGCGAAAAAGATGAAGATCCTCAGCCAGTTGGACCGACATACTAGCTGCAACAATGGGCTCAGACATAACAATGACTGTGAGGGTGGCACAGGACCAGGCAGTGTTTGTTTTGTTCTGTTGTACACAGGGTTGCTATGAGTTGGAACCAACTCAATGGCACCTAACAACAACAAACAGCTGGATCAGCTACCTCACAAAGAAAGATGAATTTGCTAGGCCACCAGGCAGAGTTTCCAGTGGTAGCAAGTTCCTTTTGCTTCTTCCTTTTCTTCCCACTCTAGCTTAGCCTTTAGAAAAGTTCAAAAAGGTACAGGTTACCCAGGGTAACTGGGCAAATATGTAACAGCTCTATGGAGTTGCTAACAAAAAAGAACAATGTTAAACAGAACCCACTGCCATCGAGTCGATTCTGACTCATAGCGACCCTACAGGACAGAGTAGAATAGCTCCATAGAGTTTCCGAGGAGCACCTGGTGGTTTCGAACTGCCAACCTTTGGTTAGCAGCTGTAGCTCTTAACCACTATGCCACCAGCGTTGTCTCTTATAAAATAATGTTAACATTTAAAACAATAAATGTTTTAAGGGGTGTAGTGCCTTAGAGGGTATGCTAAGCCTCCAAACCACCAAACTCTGCCCATCTTCAGTAACTGAGAAGGAAACTCTTGTTACCATTATCTCTGTTGGCCGTGGATCTCAGCTTGGGCATTCCAGCCTGGAACAGTCCTCCCAAACCAGGTGGTCCGCCCCCTCCAAAACTTCCACCGCCTCCACTACTGCTGCCACCTCCTCCACCAAATCCGCCGCCTCCACCAAAGCCACCAGCGCCACCAGAGCCACCAGCACCAGCTCCTTTAGGTTCTGCAATTGGAAGAAACCACACTCTTTTTACATGTATGAAAACACTCATCAGTGTACTTCACCAGTGTAGCCCAGTTAAACAATATAATAACTATAAAACAGGGGGCTGGCTGAACCTGGGCCTAGGGTGGACAACTGGGATTTCTTCACCAAAATGCAGGGTTTTAAGGGCTCACCCTACCCCAGCCAGATATGGAAGAACTTTCTCCACTTCAGGGCAGCCACAGATGCAGTAGTGGAAAAAACAATAATAGATGGTGACTTGTCCCCACACCCACTAGCTGCCATATGGGTTAATATCTGTTTGTTCTACATCCTAAGATATGACAAATAAAAGAATCTTCAAAGAATGAAGGTCATTCTTTGAATAGATATGGATTGACACAGTGGCTGCAACGATGGGCTCAAGTGTAGCAAGTATTGTGAGGATGGTGCAGGATCAGGCAGTGTTTTGTTCTGTTGTGCACAGGGTTGCTATGAGTCAGAACTGACTCAATGGCACCTAACAACAACAGTATTTTTTTCATATATGTATTGTTTTTTCTTAATTTGCTGTGTAAACTCTCATCTTAAACACAATAAAATATTTTTTTTAAAAAGTATATGAAAATGATTATTTTTAGTATACTGTCAACACTGGGCTTTAACATCTTAAAAATTCTTTGCAATTTGAGAAGGTTCAAAGTTTTTTTTTATTTTGCATTTATTTTGTCAGGAAAAACTGTGAAAGATTTTTAGATGGACAAACAAAACAGGAGGAGGAGGAAAAGGAAAAGATTACTAAGTATTTTTTCTAGCCGTTGTGGTTATTTCTGCCTTTCATTGTCTTTGAACTATTTTACAACTCCATAAGTTGCAGAAAATTGATAATAATGTAAATGATCTTTGTCCATAGAAATGCAAAGTAGTTGTGTCCAGTGAAATGCAACTGATTACTGACTTGTTTTGCACCTATCTGCCTTTATGTGTGGTACTCTGAATTCTCCTTTGAGTTGATTATAACATCTTAATGGTTCCCTCATTAATTAATAAGTTAAATAAAATCTTTTGTTACTGAGTAGAAACCCCAGGTTCTAGCTCAGCATGACTCGTATTGGCCAATAAACGAGAAACTGAGGTGGGAGAATAGGAAAGGCACCTTTATTTTGTTTACAAGGAAAAGGAGTCAGTTGGAGCTGCTGCTGCCAAGACTGCTCCCCAAGGGCAGGCAGGCAGGCAAGTTACTTTTAAGGGGTTTACAAGTAGGGACTTCATACAAGTTACGTCAGGAACATTCTTAATCATACCATGCAGGCACAATGGGGTTAACGTAAAAGCAGGATTCAAATGCAAAGCGGGGGGCAGGGGGAGCCAAGCAAAGAAAATAGGATTTTTAATACAGCACTGTGGGGGCTGTCTCACTCCTTCCATTTCTTTTTGGACATTGGTCATTCAAGACCAGAGTCCATTTTGAACTATATAGCCTGGCTCAGAATTATTTGGCATATTTTTGGGGAGGGGCAAATATTGGACCTAGGCCTTTCATTGTGGCTACTGACCTCTTGTTGGTTTATGACTATTTACTAAATATTAAAAGAAAAAGAGTGGCTTTTATGCCCTGTTTATGTGACTGTTCCCATAAAAGATTTTCTTTTTCTTCAGATTGTCTTAGCTATCGTCTTTATACCTCAGGGCCCAGTTGATGTGTCTTTATGAGTCCTTGAGAGCCCAGCTCCAGCTGGGTCACATTCTTTATGCTCAAGGACAGGGAATAATGGCTCCAATATTATCTCCTAAATAATTCTTTTCTTTTGATCGAAGATTGGAGGTAACACATTGATGATAATACCTGTACTCAAGCCCTTAGATGGTGGCCATGGCAGGCTTTTTAAACTCATGGTGCTGTTTTCCACCAGATACCATCTGATTCTTCACCAGGATCTTAAGTAAGAGCAATGTTCCCATCAGTCGCATTGCTGAAGTGAGTAGACTCAATGTACAACATTTTAGCCTGAGGCTTTTTAAGTGTAAGACAATAGAAGATAAGTTTTATTATACCTAATATTATCAGGATGCAGACTAAGAATATTATTATTTCTTGCAATAGTGATTTAGCTCATGTATTTATTCTTGATGGTAACTAACCAAATAAATCCGGTGTTTGTAAGGGTGTTATAGGGAGTACCCAAGTAACTTGTTTTCTAATTCTATGTATATCCTGTTCTACTTCTCCTGTGTTATTTATCCAAATGCAACAAGAGGTCTTCGCTACAGCACAGACTACACTTTCTTGGGCTCATAAAAAAAAATCTAAGGCTATTTTGTTATCTCATGTCACCTTGGCTAATGAGGTCAGAGATCACTGTTGTGTTTTTATCTCATTAGCAACTTCGTCTGTTATTTGTCCCGTAATGATTGATAAATTTCTTAAAGTTTTTTTTCCACTTTAACTATACCATAATAGGAATTTTAAGCTACCAACCTCACCCTGAGTACTGGACCACTGGGTTTCTTTTTTTACTCTCATTCTAATAACAATTTAACATTACCTTTTCAATATTTACTAGCATCATTACTATGAATATCTAAAGGTAACCTTAAAATTCTCAAAGTGTGTTGCCCATGCATTCACCAGGAATCTAAACAAGAGATTGCCCAAGTAAACTCACTGTCAGTTGGAAAGGGATCATTTAAACTAGCATAGCTGGATCCACCACACAGAAACATATATCCATAAGGAGCACACAAAGTTTGTCTAGAGGAAACAGAAGGTATAGAAAAATTCACATGTGACAACCAGATTTTCATTAGAGAATATATGATTAACAAGATATACAGGATGGACCTCTCCTGTTGGAGGACTTCAGTTAATCTGTTTAAAACAAGTGTTCTTCTCGAGGGCAAGCAGCCCCTCCTTGGTTTACCTATTAACAGTCATGGCTCACTTTCTCAGAAGCAGAAGTGTCACAAAACTATTTTTATGAGAGAAGAACTTCTAATTCAAGAGTTACAATATCTAAATCCATTAGTTACATAATTTAGGAGAAAGGAAAAGGTTTCTTATATCCAGAAAGTAGGACCTTGAAACATCAGTAATATTCCCACATAAAACCCATAGTATTCCTTTACTCAGTCTTAATAGTTAATTTCTGTTCCACATGATTCTAGATCAGCTGCATTCTGTGAACTCATCAGCTTCTACATAAGAGTTTTTGGACATCTTGATACAGTCTAGTCATAGTTCTTTTCATAAGTCTAATAATAGTCCATCTTTTTGTTGAGGTATTTTGGTCAAATGTTTTCAGCAAATCAACAAAGTAAAAATTTAACTGCAGATGACAAATCTTAATATGGCCATGATTAATTTATAAACATAATACTCCTAATTATAAAAAATTCAGAACCAAATAAAGTTAGTTTAAAAAAAAACTTCGACAAAAATATTTTTAAATATAATGATTAACCTTATTTTTAAAGAGCTTCAGATATAATACACTATATAATAATCTTGAGACATAATACCATATAGTCAGGATATGCCAAGATTATCAAGTCTCTAAATACCTGAATAGTAATAAAAAGACTTCACAGGTAAACGATGTGAATGCCTCAGTCAAACCATTGGATTTGGTGCTACCCATAAAAAGCCAAACCCCTTGCCACTGAGTCGATTTCAACTTATAGTGACCCTATAGGACAGAGCAGAACTGCCCCATATGGTTTCCAAGGAGCACCTGGTGGATTCGAACTGCCGACATTTTGGTTAGCACCCGTAGCTCTTAACCACTAAGCCACCAGGGTTTCTGGCTAGATTAAAAAAAATAAAGTTGCGGCCAAGTTAGCAATAAAGAAAATATAATAAAATTATGACATAATATTATGCATTTGCTGTCTAATACTAGGCAAAAACATAAGAGGAAATACTAACATATAAACTTTGACCCAAAGAGAATCAGGTGTTTCTCTTGATTTTGACTACACATACCATGTAATTTATACATATTAAATAAACCTTTCCTTTATATAAAAAAAAAAATTTTTTTTCTCAAGCCATGCAGCTTGGTTTTTGACTAGGAATTTTATTTTAATGAGCGGCTGAACTTTTGTCCTCAAGGCAGATTACACGAAGGATAAGTTAACCCTTTAACTCAGAAGTCAAAGAAAATTTTTGTTATTTTAACAGTGACAAACCCAGTTCTTTGTTTTATATATTATTTAATGTCAAAGCTCCTAAAAATTTCATAAATTAAACCATTAAACTTTACTCAGACAGATAAAACTTTTGACCATATTAAATAAATTTCTTTTTAATAAACCTCTTAAATGTTGTCTTTGTTGTATCTCTTATAGTACATCTTTTTAAAATGGCAAAAATGAACACACTCATTAGCAGACCCATATATATGTGTATATATATATATATATATATATCTTTTTGTGTGTATGTGTGTGCTATAAAAAGCAAAAGTATATAAACTTAAATTATGACGAATATCTATTTAGTCAATTTAGTATCTGAAAATTACCTAAAAGGTCTTGGAAATTATTTTAAGCTTGTATACCATAAAACATAATTGTTGAGATAAAGTTTGTGCAAACAGTCCAACTTTTTATTTAAATTTTATTATTTTTCTCAATCTAATTTTAGCCCTAAAAGATTTTATCAACCAGCTTTGGAAATCACAAAGTTACTGTTCAACTGACCAATTCATTGAGATGGATAGAACCTTATCTCTAGCTAGGGGTGGAAACATTTTTTTTAGGCTGTTTTAGTTGTATCTCATTGTGATTTTTATTTTTTGCTTTTTTGAGTTCTCTTATGATAGAGAGAACTTGTTTACAGTACTTTTATGATTGTGATCTCTCTAATTTTTGATTAGTAAAGCAGCAATTTTTTTCTTATTTTCCTTTGTCTTAAAAGAGTCTCCACTCAGTTGGAAGGCTTCTTCCAAAACCTTCCCTGGAGCTATATGGCTTCAGAGACTGGAGGCTGGAGAGGCTTGATCGTGTCCCCCCTTTAC